CAAAACCCATTTTTAATAGACTTAAAATTCTTACAGTTCAAAACTTGTTCAAGTACCATTGCATTTCAGAATTCTCTAAGATTATCAAGTACCACTGCCCATACTCCCTTTATGAGGCCATCAACATTTCAAACCGTACAACGAGTTTAACGGTTATTCTTCTTAATAAATCAAATACTTTTTTGTTCACTGCAGCCAAGCTTTGGAACACTGTTCATAAAAAAATTCTAACCTCAAGCAATTGCCTAGAAACTTCCATTAACTTGATAAAATTGAGAACCAAGGCACTATTATTACAAGTACAGGCTGCTGATTTAAAAGATACTTGGAATCCAAACAATTTTAAATTGCAGTAATCTATTCTTATCGCAGCAGCACACACTTAACACACTTAATATTACTATCATGATTGTATTATAGACTGAAAAGCTCTCAGATCAATTTTGGGCGTTTTTAACCACTTGTTGTAATGTTTTTAATTATTTAATATCTTAACTTAACTAAATTTTTATTCAGATCGAATTAACAAATAATATTTGACAATTTATTTGATAGTTTAGTCTGATATTGATATTGACTATATTGATATTGTTATTATTGAATGAAGTTAACTCCAGACGTACATAATATTACTTCTTTTAACAAAGGGACTTGGAGTATAAACGACCAAGTTAGCATACATTTTCAACCAACCAAGAATTCTGGAGGCAAAGGTGGGTGCGTAAACTTTATGGTCTGTACTCTCCGATCCTGTATCACCCAGGATTCTTTTCGACGTTTTTGGTAAAAGGTATATACCTTCTAGTCAATCTCTTGCTACTCCAAGTCCCCCAAGATTTCTAAACTAAAGTTCGTCCTAGTTATATTATATTATATAAAATATATTTTTTGTTTGCTGTAACTGATACTAAATAAAATTGTTGTTTTCCTGAAATTGTTGTTTTCCTTAAAGAGTGACAACCATACTACACATTGAATTAGGATTCCTTTAAATATCAAATTGATTTATTGTAAACTTGTTTACTCTGTAATAAATAGCATAAAATTGAATTTTTGTTTTTAACAAACTGCGATCTATGACTGGTGCAATCTGCAGAATTCGGCACTCGATACCTTCTGAACTATATTTGAAAATATATAATGCTCTTTTTGAATCACATCTCAGTTATGGTATAAGTGTTTGGGGTGTTGTCCTCAAAGAACGGTCCAATGATAGTCTTTTCATCACACAGAAGCACTGTATAAGGATCCTTTTTGGCGACCTTGACTCATATTTAGATAAACAATGAACATGTGCACGTACTAGACCATACGGTATGCAAAAACTAGACCATAAACACTTTGAAAAGGAGCATACAAAACCCATTTTTAATAGATTAAAAATTCTTACGGCTCAAAACTTGTACAAATATCACTGTATTTTAGAATTCTCTAAGATTATCAAGTACCACTGCCCATACTCCCTTTATGAGGCTATCAACATTTCAAACCGTGCAACGAGTCTAATGGTTATTCTCCTAAATAAATCAAATACCTTTTTGTTTAATGCAGCCAAGCTTTGGAACGCTGTTCATAAAAAAATTTTAACTTCAAGCAATTGCTTAGAAACGTCCATTAGCTTGATAAAACTGAGAACCAAAGCACTATTAATACAAGCACAGGCAGCGGACTTAAAAGATACTTGGACTCCAAACAATTTTAAATTGCAGTAATCAAATCTAATTGCAGCGGCACACACTTACTATTACTATCATGATTGTACTATAGACAGAAAATCTTTCAAATCGATTTTGGGCGCTTTTTAAGCATTTGTTGTAATGTTTTTAGATAAGTTAAATATCTAAATTTATAAAATTTTTTATAGGAATGAATTAATTGATATTTAATAATTTATTCGGTAGGCTTATCTGGTATTGATAATCTTGATTATATTGATATTGTTATTATTGAACGAAGCTAACTCTAGACATAGTTAATACTACTTCTTTTAAGAAAGGGACTTGGAGTATAAACAACCAAGTTTGCATAAATTTCTATCCAACCAAGAACTCAGGAGGCAAAGGTGGGTGCGTAAACTTTTGGTCTGCACTCTCCGATCCTGTATCACCCTGGATTCTTCTCGACGTATCCTTGTAAAAGTTATATACAATCTAGTCAATCTCTTGCTACTCCAAGTCCCCTAAGATATCTGATCTAAAGTTCGTGCTAGTTATATATATATGAAATATATTTTTGTCTGCTTTAATTGATACTAAATAAAATTGTTGTTTTCTTGAAATTGTTGTTTTTTTCTTGAACTGAGAAGTCAGTTAAAGGACCAGTTAACTGAAAAATTTGTAGTCTCCAATTTGGCTAAGATTTAAATCAGCTGTGACAAACTGGTAAAGAATCGTATCGCCGAAAGAACCAACTCTCTAGCGTACGTGTAACGCGTGTTATTGCAATAATAAGCTGTGGCCTCGTGACGTCATAAAGTCCCTCAGTGCGCGCTTGCATAGCGTAATTTACATTACAAATGTTTATCATCGTCAATAAAACACGTGTAACTCACTCAAATTTTAGAATTATGACTATTACCCTAGTTCTCCAAAATCCTTATATAGTTTTGGCTATCATTCTAACTAAAGGAATAGCTGATTGGATGTACAGTGCTCACGTCATGATTTTAAACAGTGATATAGGTTCTTGAACAGTGGCGGGTGAATGTACGGTTAGAAAGTTTCTGCTATTACAACTTATGTCATATGTGATAATTTTGGATTGTTTTCATTGCTTAATTACACAAGCAGCTAGGGAGACTGTACCGATTATTTTTCCCCAGTCCATGAAACTCTAACGAATTTAGAAAGGATCTAGATAAGTAGGAGTTTGTTCAATTCCGAGAGCAATTATATTTATAGCATAGCGAAATTTATATCTTTAATCCGCATGTGTCAGCCAGTACAGGAGACAAGAAGTCTGGCTACTTTACGGCCGTTCCTCTGGGACCATTAGTAGAAGTAGCTTCTATCAGAACAGTGCAGCGGGAACAGAATTCCCGCCAAAATACCCGGTCTCGGGTCTACCAAATAGTAATACTGATTGGAGTGTACGGTGTGCGGTGTGTTTTGAATTAGACTTACGGCTTACCTAGTTGTTATCCTAATTGCATTATCATCGGTACATAACATAAATAAACTACTGGTAAGTTTAAATACCAAGTGCAAACGTGTTCAGTCAATCGACCCACTGAACAAATATAGAATTTCCAAGACTCTATTATTCTCTGGCCATATATTACGGCATGATCGATTGTTAGATGGCTAAACGACCAACGTTAATCTATACAATTCTAAAACTATGAGCTAGCACTTTAATCTAAAAATACACTTTTTATATTACTCCTGATTTTTACATTTCACGTAAAACATTGTCGCCACAGGTTGATCATGGACACTAACAGCTTGATTTGAGATAAATGACTTATGAGTTTCTCTAAAGTTAACTCTAAAGTTGTGTAGTCCAGTCATTTATGGACATTTATGGAAATGAACTTGCAAATGTTCAAATACTCACGAAACTTTGCACAGACCTTCCTGAAGGTATGAATAAACGATTTTCGTTTGGAGACATTTTTTTGACCGTGGAGAAAACCCAGGAGGGCCACGACCATATTGACCCAATAACGTAACCGACCCCTTGCTTCTGACAATCGTAGAGACTTCAAAATAGGCTTAAACGAAGCCGCATATGTATGTTTATATAGGAGTTATTGAGCAACACATGGCCTAAAATCCTTACTTTTCGAGAAATTCGCCAAAAACCATTTTGGGCGTGGTGCTGAGCCCATTTTCGATAGGATCGTGATAGAGTCTTTAGACAGGGTGCAAAAGAACCGCAATTAGCATATTGATATATGACTTACGAACAAACATATGCCTTAAAGTGCTTACTTTTTCAGTTATTGGCGAAAAACTGATTTTCGGTTCCAGAAATCATGCAAAACTATGGGTATCTGGTAAATTGGGCTATGAAGGTAAAGGTTTTTGAATGTGTGCAAATTGTGCAGAATGGCCATGTTTATATACAACTTATGAAGCGACATGTACCCTAAATTACTTACTTTTCGAGTTATTCGGGGAAAAACATTGTATTATGTCCATTTTCTACCTGTAAAATACAGTCTCACGAGCTCTTCTGCGCGCGCAAGGGACTTTATGACGTCATCGCCAAAATAATACAAACGCTATTTACACGCGTTAGAGAGCAGTTAGAGATTTAGGAATTTCGACTCGTTGCTTAGTTTGCTATTTGTCACAATCTGTCAAAATATGAGGATAACTTTTTTTACAGTTAACTGGTCCTTTAAACAAAAATTTCAGTTAAACAAAAATTTCAGCACATAAGCACATTTAAAAATAAACGTTTTATGTGAAACACATCAAAAGAGTCCAATGCAGACGTTGGACATGCAATTTTTAATTTCTAATGCAGCTTATTCTTTAATTTAAACTATGACAAACTTTATATTATATTATAAATTGACCTTTTTCCTTATTTTGTATTTACCCTTGGGTTCGGTCTGACAAATACGATGATTATGGTTGGAAAATTTCTATGAAACAAGAAATTTCAATGAAACAAGAAATTCAATTTTAGCACATTTTACAGAGTCAACAAATATGTAACAATGAAAATATAATGCTCATTTGGTGTATGACTTTCTGTCCTTAACTGCTAATTGGGTTGTAAACAGATAGGCAACTAACGGAGCAAGGAATATGCAGGCCTTCTAGGTGATCATGTTTATAGAGATCTGATAAACACTGATCACAAATTGTCGGGGAGTGTTTGTCAGGTGAAGGCCTGGCCTTGTAAGGTTAACCATTTCAAAAAGTTGCTAAATTCACACTTTTTGGCGATAGGTGATAAGATCAAAGCAGGGTGAAGGTCTCTTGGTTTGGTTTTCTTCAAGAACAAAACCTTACGTAATAAACTTTCTTAACATAACTTTTTAAAATAGCCCAGCTGATGAAGTGAGTTGTTGAGCGAAGGAGATGTACCACAGTTTGGCTTCACGCTCATGGCAGACAACATTGTTTACACTGGATCACTCCTCAAATACAAATCATGGATGAGATGGTCCTCAAAGAACTTTGTCTTGACTTCCGAAGCTTTAACATACAGCTCTGTTAGTAGCATTATTTTAGTTGATACGTCATGTTTTATTTTACCTAAATGAGTTATCGTTGTGTTACTAATTATGAGTTATTTTAAGCTCACATGGCAATGTGATCTTGATCGCGAATATGTTCAGGCATCAAGAAGTGAAGGATACTGTCATCTGAAAAACATTGTAGTTCACAATGATGGTGGCAATTCATTCAACATTGTCAACAGAGCATCTAGTATCACTATGTACTTAAAAGCTCCATCTTTAGAAGAAAAGACTGAGTGGATTAATGCTATCAATCAACAAATTGGTAGGTTTTTCAAGCAAATCATTGGATATTTAAAATGTTCGTTCTAATCATATGCTTTTTAAATAAGCCATAGACATCTTAATTCTTGAAATTGTCTTTATTCTTGAGACTTATTTATTTTACCCGATCGAAATATATTTAGTTTATATTGTATAACCATTTCAGCTAATATACTGTACTCTGGTTCCTTGAAAAAGTGGACAAATGTGATCAAGGGATGGCAACAAAGATATGTTATCTTGTACAAAGACAGGTCAGTCCCTAGCTGAAGATGATATATACTGTATACACATGGTTTTTTAAAGCTCCTGCTAATAAAACCTTATGTAATATGTATGATCATTTATATTATGTTTGGAGAATCCCTCCAAGTCTAGATTGATTACATTTTTTCTATGTTTGATAATACCTTATTTAGTAAAACTCTCTGTTGTGCTATTAATATAAGCTGCATCATGAGTCATGACCCCTCATCCTCTCTGTTCTTACAGGTTGTGCTATTATCTGAATGAGGAAAGTGTTGGTATGAGACGAGGTACTATTTATCTTATGAACAGGAAGGTTTCTGTTACTCGCAGTGGCACTAAGTTTGGTTTTGATGTGGTACGTTCTAAAAATATCGTTAAGAAATATTCATTTTTAAATATTCTTTATCTCATATTTTATGTATTATTAATTAATAAACGCACTTAAATTTTGCGTTTCTTCGACTCGTCATATATAAGTATAGTGGCACAGGCCTTAGGCTTTTAAGAAACATGAAATGAGACGTTGAGAACCCGTGCTATCTGTTCAAAACCAAGGGAAGGTCTCTCAAAAGTCTCTTAAATTGGAGATCTACTGTATTTTGGGGGCTGTACCGGGTACCCTTACAGAAATACCGTTAGTTTCACTTGCTACCGTTAACAGATATCTCACCAGATATCATCTGACACCAACACAACATGGTACCTGAAGGCCACATCAGAGGACGAATTACTGACCTGGACCTCTAAAATATATAACAGGAAGCTTCTGAACATAGCGCTTGGAGACGAATCAGGTACAGGATCATAATATAATTCAAAATATTCCTCAGAAATTAGAGAGATATTATCCGGAATTAGAGCACAGCATTTTGTAGAGATAATTAATTACTCAGCACACAATAGAAAGTTACAGTAGTTGTGTCGTGAAATGTACAAGCTGTGAAATATTGCAACACAGCCATTTGTACCCCCTCCCGGCCCCCGACCTCCCCCCCTGGCCCCGACCCTGGCCCCGGCCCCCATCTCACACACGATACCTGCCCATCTGTCACACAACATCTGCTACTAATCGACAGATTTGGAAACAGCTCCCTTGTTGTGAGCCTGTCAATTGTGTAGTGTGTACTGTTACATTCTCTTTTTATTGTGTGACACGTCCCACTATTTGGCAACACTTTTGTGACACCTTTGTAACACCTTTGCAACAATTTTGTAACACTTTGATAACACCTTTGCAACACCTTTGCAACACGTTTGTAACACCAGTAACCCTAATGTCAAGGTTTGAACTGCAGAGCCGTCTCTAGTTGGTCACTAAACAGCACAGCCAGTAAACAAGATATGGAGGTGGACTCTGATGGCCGTGCGCTCCCCTCCGCTCCTCCTCTTCCTAAATCTAGACACTCAAGTGTTATCGAGGAGGTGAGATTTTATATCTTGATTGTCATGTTATATATTGGCTCGTTTTAATTGATATACTCATGTTGGTCGTTTAACTTAAAAGTGTGCACATCTGGTATTTTAATTGCAACAGAGTTAATCAGACATTATGATCATAACTCCAGTTTATAGCTTAATGAGTCCGTTAAATGATATACATTAGACTCGTACACAGTATGTATACATTATGTATACATTATACACGTGGTCGTGGACATCATCCAGTAGATTAGGACATAAGGTGGGAGTTTGGTAGTACAGTTTATAGTTGTATACTGTATGTTTACAAGACACATAATGCTGTATTATTCTCACTTCAATAAAAAGTGTTCAAATAATGTTGCCGTGTGCAGATCTGGCATTGCATTAGTATATTTTGCAAGAAAAGCTAATAAAATTTAGCTTTTAGAAAGGTTATCTGATAATTGGGTTTGGTTATTAAAGAATGACAGCAAATGTGGTTTATGGTGATATCGCTAATAGGCAATAGTTATGCAATCTAATTGTTTACCTATAGAGGGATCCCGGATCAGCTGTAATTTCAAAGCTATTACGTGAGAACCTTTAACCAATCACCTCAGAGTATTAAGCAAATTCCAGAAGCTTTTGTTATTTTGTTTATCTTAAAGGTAGTGTGAAGCATCGGTCTTTCATTGCTGTTTGAAATTTCCCAGATTTTGTTTTGACCTCTTGATTTTCATACTATAATACCAGCAAATGATTACTGTAAAAGTGTAAAAAGACAGCGCAAGAAGAGCACAGGTGTAACGGTAGCCATTTTAGTACAAGGAATCATAGTAGTTGTGGAAGGTTTTGTATTAACGGAGAGGCTATTTTATTGAGAAATATATTGTGTTTGTTATAATAAAGCAGAAGGGAAAAGTGTCATGTAATGCTAAAGATGTGTTGACTGTTTATAGTCAATACATTGGTAAATATTACCTCTCCCAATCCTTGTGTAATAGTTTAATGTGTACACAGTGTTATTGTACTGACAGTGGTATAGTTTGGCTATTTGCCAGCTTCATAGGAGACAGTGCAGTATTATAAACATACTAGAGGAGTAGCCAGGGTAGTGGGACATATTAACATATTAATTAACATTCATAACATAATGCTCATAACTCATGTTTACTTTCCAATCTAATTGTAGGCATTACCGTGCTTCCATATCCTGTTACCATGACAACACTGTGTATAAAGTGCAGTGTGCAGGGTAACTGGGTAAGTAGTTACTGACGCATCACCACAGTGCTGTTACATGAGCCACTATTCAGTATGTTGTGCACTATTCAGTATGTTGTGCACTATTCAGTATGTTGTGCACTATTCAGTTTTATGTGCACTATTCAGTATGTTGTGCACTATTCAGTTTTATGTGCACTATTCAGTATGTTGTGCACTATTCAGTTTTATGTGCACTATTCAGTTTTATGTGCACTATTCAGTATGTTGTGCACTATTCAGTTTTATGTGCACTATTCAGTTTTATGTGCACTATTCAGTATGTTGTGCACTATTCAGTTTTATGTGCACTATTCAGTATGTTGTGCTTTATTCAGTATTATATGCACTATTCAGTATGTTGTGCTTTATTCAGTATTATGTGCACTATTCGGTATGTTGTGCTTTATTCAGTATTATGTGGATTACCCAACTGACCCTGACCCTTATCACCCCAGGACAGTGACCAGGAATCGAGCTACAGGAAGGATCTAGAATGTACGATATGTCTGGAGTTGTTACACGAGCCCACCACCCTAACCTGTGGGCACAGTTTCTGTAGAGATTGCCTCTCTAATCTCTGGGCTGCTGACAGATCCAGATTCTCGTGAGATACTTTATACCTCTTTTTTTAAATTTTGAGCCAAAAATATAATATTTTTATCCGAAAGCTGCGATCAAAGCTTTGACAAACTTTAGCATCTCAGGGACACCCAAATTGGAAGTTGCTAGGGTGTATCTACAATGTATCTGATACAATAAATCTCCAGTACATTTACAATGTACATTGTAGTACATTATCTCTCTCTATTCAGGTGTCCAGCCTGTAGACACAGTATAAATACTGTACCTGCAGTGAACATCGCTCTACAGAACCTGATACCTGTCCTGTACGACAACGAGGTTAGCTTACTAAGCAGGGTTAGCCGTTAGGGCGGGGTTAGCTTACTTAGCAGGGTTAGGGCGGGGTTAGCTTACTTAGCAGGGTTAGGGCGGGGTTAGCTTACTTAGCAGGGTTAGGGCGGGGTTAGCTTACTTAGCAGGGTTAGGGGCTAGGGCGGGGTTAGCTTACTTAGCAGGGTTAGGGCGGGGTTAGCTTACTTAGCAGGGTTAGGGCGGGGTTAGCATTACTTAGCAGGGTTAGCAGGGGCGAGGTTAGCTTACTTAGCAGGGTTAGGGCGGGGTTAGCTTACTTAGCAGGGTTAGGGCGAGGTTAGCTTACTTAGCAGGGTTAGGGCGGGGTTAGCTTACTAGCAGGTTAGGGGCTAGGGCGGGGTTAGCTTACTTAGCAGGGTTAGGGCGGGGTTAGCTTACTTAGCAGGGTTAGGGCGGGGTTAGCTTACTCAGCAGGGTTAGGGCGGGTTAGCTTACTTAGCAGGGGCGGGGTTAGCATTACTTACCAGGGTTAGGGCGGGGTTAGCTTACTTAGCAGGGTTAGGGCGGGGTTAGCATTACTTAGCAGGGTAAGGGCGAGGTTAGCTTACTTAGCAGGGTTAGGGCGGGGTTAGCTTACTTAGCAGGGTTAGGGCGGGGTTAGCTTACTTAGCAGGGTTAGGGCAGGGTTAGCTTACTTAGCAGGGTTAGGGCGGGGTTAGCTTACTTACCAGGGGCGAGGTTAGCTTACTTACCAGGGGCGAGGTTAGCATTACTTAGCAAGGTTAGGGCGGGGTTAGCTTACTTACCAGGGTTAGGGCGGGGTTAGCATATCCTGCACATGATAGTGCCCTGCACAATATTCGGCACATAATTCGGTGGATTCAAACAATTTTTTTGTAATTTAGACCTCTAATATTTCGATTTATGTATCTTGATGGTTGAGTTAAAGACGGTCGCTTCCAATTTTACGTGCAGTTCTATTTCAATGCAGTAAAAGTTCAGCATCATGTTGTTTAGTCACGCACACGAGGAAAATACTCAGGATCAAGTTTAGACCAGTCTATTGTTTTTATATCTGAAGTTGGCTACTGGCTAGTCTTAGAAGTTTGATTCACTATTTCCGTGATCAATTTCAAAGCGATCCCTGAAACTCCCATATTAATAAGCAGCATGTACTAACTGTGTTTTGGAAGAAAATATGACCCACCCCCCAACGTCACGTACGATACTGAGTGTATGATCCCCCCCCCCCCCCCCCCCCCCCCCGTAATAGTCGCCTAATAGTCGCCTAATAGTCGTCTAATAGTCGCCTCTTAAACCACACTCTGTAATGAGAGTTCTGATGGTTTGCGTCTACAGTCTTAAATACCCAACTCACTAGCTTAATTAGAGCTGTATTACTCCACATCACTAGTAAGCAGCATACACCGCGTACACTGCGTACTGCGTACATACCGCACGTGCAGTATAATGTAACCTCTCATCTCTCTGACCTGTTATCTCTCCAGGAAGTGATTGAGAGGACGACCAGTGGAAACAGAGAAGCTTTTGATAACTTCTTCTCAAATCCTCACAACGCCTCTCCCTCCAGCACGCAAGGTAACTTGATAGGCTCACTGTGTAATAATCTGTATGCTAATATTTGTTATCTTATTTATGTAATGAGCTAATCGTGGTGGGTTAATTAGTTCTGGGAGATGATTTAAAGCTGGATTAGATTAAATTGAGACTTAAGAGTCGTGTAAATCTTGAAGCTAGCTAGATTCTAGCCAGCTATTCTGTGGAGAAATGGGCGTTTCTAATATGATGGATTAGCTGTAATAATGTGGGTTTCTAAGATAATGGATTAGCTGAGTCGGAAACCGAGCAACTTATGTAGTAATTACTATCCAGTTGCATTGCTACATGCTGCATAATAGTGGAAGGGGGTATAGAACCAAGCATATTCATAGCTTCTAATGGATGATGTTTAAAAATACAGAGTATTTGATAGATTAATGAATGATATATATTATATATAGAGTATTTGATAGTTAGTATGTGGTTAGATACTGGCTTAGCTTTACAATTGTTAGTGAGTCTGTACTGGTCTCCTAGATTGGCCGCAATTACTGTACGAGACCACGTTATTACTCACTTACTTTACATGTCCACTAATAACTACTTTGCTAAGTAAGATGGGAATCTGGTCTAATCCAACCTCTAAATGAGGTCTAAATAAACGGGTACTGGGTAGTAACATTATACATACGTCTTTACTCTTTATCTGCCTTTTACAGAATACCAAAACTTTTTATAAACTATCCAATAAGAGTTCTTATTACATAACAATTATTAAACTTGCAGGGGGAGATGCGTCCGGACGGGCATACAATCACACAAACTTAGAGTATGAGTTCTTAAAACGAGGAATGTGTCTTATCTTTATCTTGTGGGTGGGAAGCAAGGTAATATCTCCCTTCATGCCTGTCATTGATGTCGCTTCCTCTGACTCCGTCAACCAGTTAGTATATTCTCCTAAAAATAGATTTTTCCGTTTTAAAATCTGTTGATACGTGCAGTCAAACCCCAATTTATCGGGGAAAGGAAATTATCCCGGTCGATCAGGGTTTGTGAAATTGTGTCCCGTGGTATGCTAGCTGGTTACATTTGTTGTACATAGTTTCCAATTTCAAACCAGGTTTCATCTCGCTATCTGTTTACATTTTACCTAGACCAACCGGCGACCAAGAAGACAGCCCTGACAATGTAACGGCTTTCATTAGCTTGGTAAGTGCTTTTATTAACACTTCTATAAGTGATCACTTAAATTGTTTATTGTTGAGCTAAACAGTTATAAAGTAAACATTGGTGTTCTCATCACTTTTAAAGATGCCTGACCATTTCAGAACTCACGAAGAACGCTTATATTTCTGTTGGTCGGAGCGATACAGTGTCCACGATTTCTCGGGGCATATGTCGTTCTGTTTTGGTACAGCAGTCTTTTCTTCCCTTCTCTCAAAATAGTATCAGTGATGTTTAATCAGGTAAAACTCCGTCCGTAGTAGCTAATATTATTCCGTTAAAGTTATCGTTGGCCAATTTTATAATGAGCCGTAACACATAATGGGTCTAAAAATAGAGAGTTTGGAAAAAGATCATCTGGAACGCGCGACAATTATATTCACTGTACCGATAGCGCAAAATTTGCGCGCATGTCGCGCGCGCGATCATGTTGTGTCGCGCGCGCGCCTCGTTAGATTATACAGCGCGCGTTTGAATTTCAAGTAGCATGTGATTTATTCGATCGATATTACATATAAATATCCTACGACCCACTGATAATACTTTTCAAAATTGTCCCACATTCAAATCCGAAATGAGGTTATCCGACATCAGCGCTGTCGGACAAGAGTCCTAACACCTAATCGGTGACTGCTGTCCGAATGTTGGATCACATGCGTTTTTCACAAGGTCTCGGGTTATCTTGTGCCGTTGTGTCTATTGTCCTTGGATGCTAACTTGAAACTCTGCTTACCGATATCATGAATAAAGTGTCTATTGAGATCCGATCCCTCGATAAATTTGCAGCGCTAAAGTCGATGGTGAAATGTCAATGACTCGCCAAATACCAACATTTGATTATACTTACAAATTCTCAGAAACGCTTTCAGTGTCTTAGCAAACGCATATAATTAGCGAATATTACAGATTACTAGCTGTTAATTGAATACTTATTGTTCTATTCGTACTTCATATTTACTTTACCTCGTTAACACCGGGCTGCTTTAAATTAAATCTCGCTATTTTCAGACATTAGGGTTCGGACTACAGCTTAAAGTGATGATATGGGGCGCAGTTGTGCCGCACATATGGCTCATACCCCTTTTTGTTCACGAGCAGCAATACGTGCTTGCGATAATCAGTATCGTCATTTCCGGGATAGAGTGTTGGGAGCTGTTTTTCTTCGTCAGACAAATCTTCCATCTGCAACATGACCGTGAACAGTGAGTCACATTCAGTTGTCACTTTTGTAATTATAAGTATTCCTGATAATTATACAAATACAAATAGACCAGGTCGCTCTAGCGGCACTGAAATTCAATACTATATCGAGTAAGGTTTCACGTCTATATTAAACGAATGTTTATATTTTATTCCCATGAAATTGTCTCCACGTCTGTATAAAGTTATTTCAGGTATGTTATGTCAGCGATGAAACGCGAGAGCGGTGTTTCGTTGATGAGGCTTTTATTCGCAAGAGCTATATCGGTTAGTGCATACCTTTACTTTCACCCATTTCTCCTTTGTCTTATCTATGTTATCTCCGGTCTTTGCCACTTCAAGTTCGATTTATCAAATTACAGTTTTTATAACAATCTTCAGTTCTCTTTAGTAAATATAAAATAGGTGCAGATAAGTTTCAAAACCAGAGTGAATTATAAACATCTCCTATTTCCCAGTTCTTACCGTGGGGCTGGTTACCAGACGTCCTGTATTACGTTGCTCTGCTGCTCGTCACTGGGGAAATGATGTCCAAGTACACCAACAGAGTCCGGGGCCTGTTGGACCGGACTCGAGCACTTTCCAGTCAGATCCCTGGCGTTCAGATCAGCAATGTTTCTCTTTCACTTTCGGGTGAAATGAGAAGGACTTAAAAAGAGCTCAAAGTTCGATTATGGGACATTGTAATGTAAATAGAGTTTCCACTGCTGGTTGCGCCGTAGATTAGACTATTCACGTGCAGTTAGTTTAGGATGATTTAAAAAGGGCTATTGTGTTTATTCAGCTATTACACATCTTGCATAAAAATAGTTAGAATTGTTACATAGTTACACCGAACATTCCAACTAGTTTTCGTGTAACAAAGCTATTTCTTAGTTGATGTTAGAACTTAGAAGTCACAATGTTTACACAAGTTTAAACTTTAATGAGGTCTGCACGTTCTCTTTTATTTTCAGATCATTGTTCGCGGTTGGCGAGCTGAACCAATTAATTTACCGATTTAAGTTACATCATTGATTTACATCATTTTTTGATTTACAGTGTATATTTTTCTGATTTTTGTCGTTTTTAAGCCTGTTTGTAGAGGCGATAGTTCAGTTCACTGTTCACAGTGCACAAAGGATAAAGTAGGTTTTCAGATAATTTTGAAGTTTATCCTTTATTTTTAGATTTAACAGACAATATTGAGAGGATCTGCCAAGATATAAGTGTATTTATTTCAATAAATTTTGTTACAAGCCCTTAATCAATATATTCACTGCGTAACTGTAACAAACCCGTGTCTCACGGAATAAAGAATCGGGGGGGGGGCCAACCATATTAAAGTATATTAAAGTATATCCCCGGGTCAAAATCGGAAAAAATCCTACATTTTAATATACTTTAATATACCTACAATTAGAAGATTTATATTCTTCGTTAAGATTTACATGATGAACTATATTTTTCACTCAGATTCGCAAGATAAGCCTGTTTTAGGACTAGTACATGAATTTCCATCCAGATTGGTCAAAAATTGGCTGAGCTATGAGCTTTAAAAAATATGCCCATATTTGGGCATACGCTTTTGTCCAAATTCGCTTTTGCCCAAATTCGATAAAATTTCAATATTTTTTAATGAGACTAACTCTATGTGAAAGATATAACTCAGTGTTTGTTGGATATAGTGGATACTAAGTAAAAAGACCTCCATGAACAAAATTGGGAAAATTGCACATAATATCTCGGTTCAGAATACTAGCCAAAATAACTTCATTAAAATTGAAATAACTCCATCAGTTTTCAATAATTTTTCAAGAACTTTTTGGAATCGATTAAGGATTGCATTTCAAGCTTATTTTGGGCAACAATTTTTGATGTAGGCCTCCAAGGAGATAGGGATATATTAAAGTATATTAAAGTATATTAAAGTATATTAAAGTATATCCCCGGGTCAAAATCGGGAAAAATCCTACATTTTAATATACTTTAATATGGTTGGCCCCCCCCCCAGAATCCAAGAAATGTTGGAATGTTGTGAACTAAAGCGTGACCTCTTGACAGAGCATTCTTGCAAAGAAAATCGGATGTAATAAACTATTTAATTATCTCATAATGTTCACACAGGTATTCCCCTACCCGTCCGGCCACTGGCAGCTTACCATTTTAATTATCTCCTACGTCTATCCGCTTAATTAAAACCTGGCAATCTGTCCTTGCCGCAGTTTTAACGAAGACCTGGACAGTGGACATCATTCCAATGTTTAATTTCGCTACACATTGCATCAATCCTTAGATATTCCTAAATCTTATAATTTGACGTAATACGGGGAGTAATACCACACTGTAATACCGCTCTCTCGGCGTCTCAACTCACTTATTCCTCATTGCCCTACCCTTTACGTAGCTTTTTTACGTTACTTTCTACACTTTCAAGTTTTCTGTGATATCGTTCTGTGCTCATTTTCCCGCTTATTAAGTTTCCTGCAGTGGTCGCTAAACTTATTCGTGCAATTTTGTTTATAGTAACAGCAAATAACATTAGTAATCAGTCGGTGAAAGTTTCATACTGTCGAATATTATAGTTCTAACGAGGGTCATGAACCGGCAGTGGGTGGGAGATACTGGTTACAGCCGGTAATGAACCAGCAGTGGGTGGGAGATACTGGTTACAGCCGGTAATGAACCAGCAGTGGGTGGGAGATACTGGTTACAGCCGGTAATGAACCAGCAGTGGGTGGGAGATACTGGTTACAGCCGGTAATGAACCAGCAGTGGGTGGGAGATACTGGTTACAGCCGGTAATGAACCAGCAGTGGGTGGGAGATACTGGTTACAGCCGGTAATGAACCAGCAGTGGGTGGGAGATACTGGTTACAGCCGGTAATGAACCAGCAGTGGGTGGGAGATACTGGTTACAGCCGGTAATGAACCAGCAGTGGGTGGGAGATACTGGTTACAGCCGGTAATGAACCAGCAGTGGGTGGGAGATACTGGTTACAGCCGGTAATGAACCAGCAGTGGGCGGGAGATACTGGTTACAGCCGGTGATTCTGAGCTCCTGCAGCTATGTACACTGAGTGTCACTGGGCTGTAAGCTTGTAAGAGTAACTCTATTACTGATAATTATCGGCTCTTTCGCACGGCTTCGGTCCTTGCGGCCCTCCCTTTTTACATAAACGCTCACTTTACCAGTCCTCTCGGTTGTGTTAATCGAAATTTGTGTTATAAAATCCGAAATTCTCAGGATATTTTAGAGTTAAGTGGCGTGCTTTAAGTTATCTTCCCATGAACTTGTTGTGTAATCCGTCCTATTTATAGCATCTCAATAATTCTCTCATGCCCATACTTGGTGGGAAATTATCAGTTACAATTTATCGTTATTTTAGGACTTTAGGAGGCCTCCTACGTTGGTGACTCAGCTCGCTCGACATTGCATAAGGATTGAATGGAATGTTAGGCTTGTTGAGTTTAACTTAAAGTTTTGCATTTACGTTAGATAAGCTTGTAATACCTTTACCATTGAAGTGTGCCGTTTGCTACTGTTTAATATCCTGCATGTCTTCTCCCTGCATTCTGACACCTTTACCATTGAAGTGTGCCGTTTGCTACTGTTTAATATCCTGCATGTCTTCTCCCTGCATTCTGACAGCTTTATCTCTAGAGTTCTCATCTGTTATTTAACATGCTGCACTGACTGCACTGATGTCACTTGTCACTTGTAATATTGTAATATTGTAACGAGTAACACGGTTACTGAGTCAGTTACCGTGTTATCTTGTTGACCTCTTTTCTCTTCCTTCCGGTTTTTATAGCTTGTGTTTTGTGCGGTGATTTTGAATGTATCTAGTGTTAGTGAATATGCAGTTTTTGACGATGCTTGTTAGAAAATTAGCCCAAAATATCCAGTCATTTAATCCGAGAACGGCTTATTTTTATTACAAAGATCTGTTACACTTACCGCAATGTGGAAAAATCACACTCACGGTTAAAGTTTACATTCTGCGAGAGAGATTAATTATACTGAGATCATTGCTCTTTGTCAACTTAAAACCCAGAACCGGTGAGATCCACTAAGTTTTAGGAAAATAAGATCACTAGTGATTATCTTCCTGGAGGTCCACCTTTTAAAATATCCCTCAAATAATAATTCTCACATGAAAAGGAGCCCGTCTGATAGCAACAGTAAAACCCAAATATGGAGAGAGTAAAGAATATGACGAAAAAGCTTATGGAGGAGAAACAGAAGGCTGATAGCAGGATATCGGAGCTGGAGCAAGATATCGAGGCCATGAAGCTCAAACTGGAAGAGGTACTGTGTGAAAATGGGTGTTTAAATCATGTTTAAAACATTTTATTACGTTGAAGTGTTAAATCATGAAATCTGAGACTGGTGGGTGGTTCGACGCTAGTATGTCCACATTTATAATATTACGTTATTTCTCCTGGCTATAATTATAAATATAATATTTATAGCTTATAAGTATGTAATGATAACCAGTGATTCTTGAAAATCCTTACTTTTAGTGACGTCATGACAGGTTGTTGCTACATATTCATTATTCGTGTGACCAAAAAATGAAACCTTTGAATATGCTCATCCAAAACGATGTTTTATAATTTATGACCATATTAGTCAATTTTTCTGTAAGGCTGCCCTCGGCTGTTCGCACGTTGATGTATCCACTCACTAAATGATTAAATGTTAAATCATTATTAACCGCGCCAGTATAAATATTAAAACAAATGTTGAAGTTTGACCGAATCTGTCTGGTGAATGTAGCGTTCGCTACTGGGGGCCACTCGGATGCGATCTGATTATTGATGATAGTATTATTATATAACATTATAACTATAAGTACGACCGTAACCGTTAGAGCAATGAACCAATTAGGTTGCAGTAGTTTTCAATCAAAAACTAATTGCCCTGTCAAAATACGTCTCCTGGGAATCCCCACAGTTAATAAGTTAAGTTAAGTTACCTTGACTGTTATAGTGATTCCACCTATTTTGACTACAGTAATATGTATACTTGTCACCAGGTGGAGAACGAAAAGACAACTTTGCTGACAACATGTGAAGAGAAAGAGGAAGAAGTGGAGGCTATCACTGCTGAGAACGTGGAGGAACTCAAAAGGATCGCCGAACTAGAGGTTTGTAATATTAATATTACTTCTGTTTGAGTTTCAGTTTGAGTCCTACTATCGTTTGGATTTCCTCGTTTACTTAGAGTCAATTTTGCGTAATTTCGCTGTCCACAAATAGCTGAAGTTGACACCCTTTTTCTGCAGCTGGAGATGGAGAATAATATCCGAGTAATAGACTCCAACAAGAACGAGTTACACAACCTAGAACAAGAAAAGATTCACAAGGAAGAGAAACATACGGAGTTGGAAGCCAAACTGAAATCGTTTATTGAAGAATGTATGGAAATGTCGGCGGAGTAATCAAACTCAATTAAGGAGTAACCAATATAACCAAAATGAAAACATCGACACTCTTTGTCTTTGCACGTGCTGGATTATGTCATACAGACTCAACGTGAGATTCAGATACTGTTACGCACCATTTTTGAACACGGCTATTATCTCTTAGTCTTAATGAAACTTAGCTTGTAATGTTTTACAAATTCACCTCAACTTCGATGCAGGTGGTTTGAAAAGACTGGCCATATGCAGAAAATCACATCTGGATTTTACGATGTCATTTAGTGTGATATGTTGAAATAATACGTTTATACTTATTATTCATTATAATTCATTAATTTGTCGCAATTTTATAATATATTTTACAACGACAGCTTAAGTTTAACCTTTTTACAAATACATGAAGTGATACTATTGAATTATAAGTGTGACTCCATTTTTTGGCCTATTTGACTACCACTTATATTTTTCATAATTGATAATCGCACCGGATTTTTTAGGTTTTTCTTCCTCTGGGCGCACTAAATAAAACTTGTGACTGGACAATACAAGGAGCGCAATTGTATAATAAAATAATCGAGTAATCGCACTGATTTTCAGAACAAACAAAAACATAGTTGGGGCGATTACAAAACTAATCTGAAAGTCCTAATATCGTGTTCCGCTTAATTTGCTGCTCACACAACGCTAACATAAGTTTACAATATAGCTTAATAATATAAACATAGTGTTCTTAAAGAGTCACGAAGTAGTCACAAGATCGAATCATCTTGGCAAATGCAGGTCACGTGCCAACGTATAAACTGCTCTGAGTTTGAGACCAGCTATGATGCCTATTGTGGCCACTCCACAGCCACTGGCCGGCCGCTGTTTTTTGTAAATGTCCCGATATGACCGGAGTGGATTTTTGACTTTTGTTGCCGTGTTGTACTTGTATTGTGGACTTATGGTGCATTTGAGTGATTAACATGAGTTCCAGGAAAATATAATCGTCCCAAGATACATTCCTCGGAAATTAAATTATATGATTTATTATAACACCAAAAGCGAGAAGTAAGCGCGGCACCCGAGGACCTCAGGCTATCATGTTCATAAACGAATAGAGATTCGGCGGAATGACAGGCTGAGCGCGGCCCAGTAACCGACTACCGGCCACAAGAGTTCTTCACGTCGTGACCTCCACGCGCGGTCGTTTCACTATATATAGTGCCAGTGGTGTACCTCAACCTGTAGAGTTTATACGATACAGGGGAGCCGCGCACTCGTGCGCGGCGGGTCATACAAGTACAACGTATGACAACATTTGTATCACGGTAGTTAGTGCGCCATCGACGGTGAGCCGCGCGTGCCGACTGTAGGATGGTTTTTTAGCGCTAATTTCGGCCAGCACAATTTTCTTCAAACAAATAGATATTAAGTATCCTTCCCGACCTCCGATTGCAACAAAAATTGGTGAGCTTACTTATAGAGTACTTACAAGGAAAGTGTCCGAAAAGTTTAAAGCATACCCAACCATCAGACATTATGTTACAGCTAAAAGCAGCGTATTTTGCCTCATTTTGATCACTATATCAACTCCGATATCCACCAAATTTTTAGGACAGTTGTAAAAACCCTATTGGAAGGTCGTTGCCAATTTTCAGAATGATCTCATTCAAGGAACTGAAGATATATCCAAATAATACGACAAAAATCAACGAATTTGGTCAATTTGGTCAAATTACGCGACTTTTACAGCTAAATTTGCTCCAAAAGCCGCGCACTATCAAATATGGCACCTAGGCGAAACTCACTGATCTTTCCAAAAAGGTATAACAAATTTGGTATTGTGAAAATTCTCACCGTCTCTAGAAAACAATGGTACAAAAATTTTAAAAATCCGAGCAAGTTTATTTTTATGGTGCACCTCCTAATCACGGGCCATTAACGAAAGCCTTCAATGCCTTTCAGACATTGATTGGGTCAACGCAGGTGTCGAGTACTCGTACGTCACTTTAAAATATTTGGTGACAGGTTACTGGGCCGCGCTCAGCCTGTCATTATTCCGCCAAATCTTTATATAATGTTTATGAACATAATAGCCTGGCTGCCTGGGGTCCCCAGGTAAGCCAGAACCCAATTGATTAGGTGCCTATAAAAGTGACGTGATTATGAACCTGAGATCACGTGGCTGTGACGTCACGTACCAAAGCATGCTTTCTAGCTTTCCGAACTTGAGCTACTCGATCAGGCCTTATATGGAATAATATTATATAGTGTATCGTGTATAATTGGATAAAATTATAGGAGCTGCGCATCTAATTCTATTGCTGCTATGCATATTGATCAGGTATAACTATAAATATAAGTATAACCTTTTGAAACCTTGCATGTAGTTGTCATATGCATACGTTGTATGACCCGCTGCGCACGAGTGCGCAGCTCCCCCTGTATCGTAGAAACTCTACAGGGGTGAAACGACTGTGGGGATCATGACGTGATACAATTGAAACCCAGCAGGCAGCTGGGCCAGAGATTTGAAAATAGAAGGATTTTTTGTTAATCATAATGAATATCGACGCGAAGCGAAAATCATGTAACCGAACTATATGTTTTTGAGGACGGCAAACACAATAAAACTGGTTATAATTATCATACTCAAGGGCAAATTGCTTTAAAATGCACTTGAATGTTATTTGTAGGTTTATAACCTACCGGCCAGGGGCAGGACGCGCGCCGAGTTGGACTCTTCAACGGTCTTGGATATTTGACATGGAACAAATATTTTACAATCAGTATCACCCGTTAAGAATGTCATGGATGTTATTATAAGCTAAGCGCCTGAGCGGCTTATCGGGTGGCACCATGGTTTAGCTCTGCGGCCGAATCTCAGTAACTGTAAACAACGACGCCACTAGTTCTCAGCTAATAATCGGGCTTAAGAAGGAAAGATCTCAAGTTCAGAAGACGAAAGAAATTTATCCAAATATTTGCATAAAATTAACGAATACGGATTTCAGCGAATATCGAAAAGGACTACCAAGGATTGTATCAGGATTTCTATATCGGTATTTCAAGTCTTCATAGCTGTTTTAGGATGAACTAACGGTATTTTAGGATTGTGTTAGGGCTACTTACGGATAGGTTGACCCTCATGTTATAAAAATGGTCCCCTAGCCTTCCGTTGTACACTTCTCGTTACATTCTGCCTCAAATTTAAAGTTAACCTTACCTTAGCATGTATGTACTCATGTAGCTCATATTACCTTGTATTGTATCTTACAATTAAAGTTAATCTTACCTTTTACCTCTAACATATTTAGTTAATATTACCTTGTATCTTACAATTAAAGTTAACCTTACCTTTTACCTAGCATATTTAGTTGATATTACATTGTATTTGTATCTTATAATTTGAGTAACCATTACACATTAACTATGCCTATTTTTGGGTTTTGGTAAAATATTAAACAGTATTGCTCCATGTATATGAACCATGCAATGGCCAAAAAAAATACATGATTGCTGATAAAACAATTTTACCAAAACCCATAATCATGGGTAGAGTGGACCGCTGCCAGTGTCTCTCTTTCCCAAACAAAAGGAAATGATATTAATTTGATTGACCGTTCTCAAATGCAAAATGATACCGAGAATGAAATCGGTCGCTCGCTTTTCCCATTCATTCACGGCTTACGAATTGTATAAATAAGTTTCGATTGATTACATCAATCAGATGCTGTAAAAATCTCTTTGGGTTGCGTTCGGGTCGATACCTAGTATTTCGGGGTAAGGGACAAGGGTGGTAGTTATTACTTATTGAACAAGCTGGAGTTTATTGAATCTTCATTGCCGAGTACAGCTGCCTTTGGGTAGTTCTTCTTAATCTATTACAATTGTAAATGAATGGGAAAAGCGAGCGACCGATTTCATTCTCGGTATCATTTTGCATTTGAGAACGGTCAATCAAATTAATATCATTTCCTTTTGTTTGGGAAAGAGAGACACTGGCAGCGGTCCACTCTACCCATGATTATGGGTTTTGGTAAAATATCATCTCTTTTTGATTATAATGTCAGGGTACTTTATAAAGTCGAAATATAAACTGATATCTTCATTAATAAGGAGGAAGTTTCAACAATTTCGAAATTTTTCCTTTAAAAACATATCCTTGTGTTTAGGGAAGCATATCGGTCGATCACTGACTGAATATGCCACTTAATACTTATTCAAGTTGGCATTAAATTCATATATAATGACATTAAACTGTCGTGGCAAAGCAGAATTTGTTGGAAATCACGAATGAGCAAAATTCTCACCTTTCGCACGTGCAAACTTTGAGCGGACGTTGCGTGCGCATCCAATATTGAATCGCCGTAAATTTTTGCATGTAATTGTTTTATATATAGCTTGATAAGCATGCAAAGTTTCAAAGTATTTCAAGAAGAACTGTAATCACAACGGCACTCTAAAGTTGACAGAAAATGACGAAAACAGCAATTTTCAGTGATTTTAGCAATTTTCTTTCAATTTGGGCGTGTCCCCACGTGTGCAACTTTTCGATTTTCAACTTTAAAACTAGCCTAATGCACAATTTATACCTATAAGAAGCAGAAATAAGCTCCACAACCCAAGGCATGGCCCAACACCAGAGAATACTAAATCGCAAAATTGACGTTTTTATAAAATAATTCTTCAAAAAAGCACAAACTTCAATAACGAATATCTTTATGAAGGAGCAAGCTAGAAAAACTTTCCGGTAGATTTTCAGAATGCTTGAACAATTATCTAAGGTGAAAATTTCCTCAGATTTTGAATAAAATTACATCTTAATGGTTTAAAATTAATTTTAAAAGTTATTACTTTGTCAAAAATCAAGTTTTAAAAACGGTTAACTTGATGACGGCATCAAGGGGTGTTTATGACGTCAAATAATTTTTTATACAATGTAAACTAAAGTGTAAACAATTATTTGCAAGACCTGTGGTCGGAAATGGCTGTATCTTTTATAGGTACAAATCTACAGACACCTGAATGTAGCCTATAATTGACTGGCAAAGCGTCTATCCCTGAATATATGTATATGTATATGTATGTATCACGACAATCTGTCGTAAAACAGGGGTTCTAGAAAACCCATTTCCCGATGCTCCTGAAACTTGAAACTTTTTTTGCAATCGATTTGGTCAACGTCTAGACGTCCTAAAAAATTTCAGATCTCTAACTCAATTTTAACATGGTTTTTAAGGCACCTGAATATGGCGATTTTGGGTTTTTTACCGAATTTCGTATAACAGTGCTGGCGAGTATTTTATGCAAATTTCTTAAAAATCTCAACATAACTATTTTTTATTCCTGTCATCTTTGACATCAAATTAGAATGTTTTGAACT